AGGAGGTGGTGGGTGTGGGGACCCATCTCCACTGTGCTGAAGATCAGTGCCATCTTCGTGGAGGACAATCTAGAGTCACTTAGTGAGCAGAGAACAGGAGTCCATTTGTGGGAATCTGACCCGGACAGCCAACAGTGTGACACAGAAGTAAAATGGGCCAGTGACTACTGCAGTATAGTGACTGTTGTAGTCAAGGTTTCTACTGCTGTGATAAAACACCGTGACCAGAAGCAGCTTGGGGAGGAAAGGGTTTATTTCAGCTTCCACTTCATCACAGTCCATCACTGAGGGAATCAGGGAAAGAACTCAAGGCAGGAACCTGGAGGTGGGAATTAATTCAGAGGCCATAGAGGGGTGCTGCTTACTGGCTTGCTCCCCATGATTTGCTCAGCCTGATTTCTTCTATTACCCAGCACCACCAGCTCAGGGATGGCACCAGCAACAGTGAACTGAGCCCTCCCACATCAACCATCAGTCAAGAAAATTCACCACACTTGCCCACAGGCCAATCTCGTGGGGGCATTTTCTCCATTGAGGAGCCATTTCTAAAATGACTCTAGCTTGTGTCAAGATGACATAAAACTAGCCAGGACAGTGACCAAGAGAAAAAAAAAAGATTCAAAACAAGCACAATGCCCTTCTTCAGGTGCTACCCATGGTTGCGGCCAGGCCACTCAAGCTGACCATCAGGACTTCCTTGCTTTATTGTGGACTTTGGACATCAAATGGCAAGCCAGTATGACTAGCACGTGGTGAAAAAAGTCACGCATGTGCCTGTCCTAGAAGGTCAGAGCCACAACCGCAGGGTGTGTGGGAAGGAATGGGCATGGTTCTCTTTGCAGGGGCTCTTTCTGGAGGATGGGATTAGACCGCGCTCAGAAAAGGGTGGAGAGGAGGCTTTGCGCCTTGTATATTTAAGAGTTATTTTAAACTTTACACACAGTAACATTCTCCCTTTATGTTGTTAAGGTTTGAGCTTTAATGCATGCTTAGATTCTGAAAATTGTCAGGGATAGGATGTAGATTAGAGTTGATACTCTAAAGAATTCTCGTGTCCTACTGCATGGTAGGCCCTTCGGCGAAGTCTGATCTGTCTTCTTCCCGATTTTATTGCCTGTGGGAGAGGTCGCTGCACTAGGAAGCTTTCAAGGACAAGGAGATGGGGGAGTCTCTATCCGCTCTTCCTCCACAGTGAAACATCTCCATTTCTCAGAGGCACACACTTGGAGGAGCACAGGAAAGGCCGGGAAACATGGAAAGGATAAGGCTAACAAGGAACCTAAGTGTGAGCAGAGACGGTTTCCTAGAAAAAGACATCAAGAAACAGGTGGGTATTCTTCCAAAAGAATCAAACTAGGTCCAGAAGATTGAATACAGAGCTTTGTGCATGCAAGGCGGTGCTGTTAGTGTTTTGTCAACTTGACAGACATTAGGTTCATCTGGGGTGTGGGGAAGCTCAGATGAGAAAATGCTTCTATCAGATTGGCCGGTAGGCATGTTTGTGGGGGCATGTCCTTGATTGATAGGGGAGGAACCGGCTCATTGTGGGCAATGCCACCCTGGGCAGGTGGTCCTAGGAGCTGTAAGAAAGGGAGCTGAAACCTGAGTATGGAGGCAAGTCAGTGAGCAGCTTTTCTCCTCGGCCTTTGCCTCAGTTCCCGCCTCACAGTTCCTGCCCTTCTTGAGTTCCTACCTCGGCTGCCTTTAATGACGGACTGTGATCAGGGTGTGGAAGCTCAATAAACCCTTTCCTCTACAAGTTGCTTCAGGTCATGGTGTTTTATCATAACAATAAAAAGCAAATTAAAGCATGAGATAATCTCTCTACCCCTTAGAAACATTACTTTGAGGCAGAGAATTGCTGAATTGTAGTGGCTGGCTTCCAACTTGCCACTGGTCTGCCTCTGCCTCCCAAACAGCTACAATTACAAGCAGGTGCCAGTATACCAGGCTCACTGCTAACTTTTTCTGTGTCTTAGAATTTTTCTAAACAAGACACTACCACCTTTTAAAAAATAACTCCTGCCATGTGTGTGGGAAGCTGTTTCTTGGCCTGGAATTTAGCCTCTGAGATGGACTGGTCCAACAGGACGAAGGAAGATGTCTTGGAAAAGGAACAAGCTGGCTAACCTAGGCTGTCTTCCTCTCACAGCAAATCAGCAGACTGTGGCTCAGGTCAGTAGACAGGCCTGCTCTGTGCTGAGGAGCACACACCCGGCATCACGCTCCTGTATCTCCTGATGCCCAGCCCTTTGGCAAACTGGGCTCCAGTATTTATTACAATATTTCCTGTGCCTTCTGCCCTCATCCCACCGCTGAAAGGTTTACTGTTCCCTTCGAAGGGAACCCCGGGGTGTGGAAGGGCAGGGCAAGCATCAGTGCTGGGGACAGAGCAGCTGGAGACGCTGGAGTGCTTTAGTGCCCCCATCTGAGACCCCCAACACGTTCACTTTATGGTGCGCACCTGGGAGGAGGGTGGGGTAGCAGCAGCCCTACCTGTGAACTCTGGACCAAGTCCCTGCCACCACAAGGGAGTAAACAGCACAAGGCTTCAGAAGCGGATGAACATTGCCATTAGATCTTTCATTATCTATATGCTTTATATGAACTAAATTGCCTCTAGCTGCTATAGTTTGGTACGGTGAGGATGAGTATCGAAGTCATGCTAACGAAAGGAGCCGCGAACAGAGCCGGGTGCGGGGACTCTTTCCCAGGTGAGGCTCGACCACACAGACCTGAGATTCTGCTCCGGTCTGTCGGAGGCAGCCTGCAGACCCCACAGTGGGGTTGAGGAGAAGGGGGACCAGGCAGCACCCTAGTCCCGACACTAGTCTTTCGCATCACAGCCCCTGGGAGGATGGGCCCCTAACAGACTCTGGGTAACTCCTATTCTTTTGCCCTTTCAGGAAAATACAAACCATTCCTGGCGCCCAGCAGAGGAACCCAACTTTGCACTCAGCGTTGGAATGTGTTGCTATGTCTGTGGATTAGAAAATGTCAGTGTCCACAGATGGGCAAGGCAGTTATGACTTGGGCAAAGTCCTCACTAAATGAAGACAGTCTCACCTTTGTGTAAGTCAGAGCAATGCACAAAACACGGGTTCTCTGCACACCATCCCAGGCACATTTATTTAGGCCTCATTATTTTAGGTCAACCTTGCTTCCGACTCACAATCCTTCTGCCCCTGCCTATCTTGGACATTTTATAGCATGGAAGAGGTCGTACGTCATTAAGAGACCAAACATCGCCCCCGAAGCTTCTCCCCTTTCAGCTCTAGCTGTGACCCTGAGTTCTGCTCGCTTGCTGGGCCCTTGAGAGACATTCCCAGTCACGGACCGTGGAAGCAGATGGTGGTGATCTCAAACTTTCACCTACAAAGCAATTCTCCTTGCTATGAAAACAGCTTTTGGAGTCGCTCGACAGCTGCCTCATAACACACGGAAAATGTGCAGAGCGGATCCTCAACTAGGACCTGCCCCTCCCCTCGAAGTCTCTGTTGGTGCAGTGGCAAGGAAATCACCAAACACGCATCACTGAGGCAAGAGGCTCACGGACCAAGAAAGCTACGCCCCAAGGTTCTGAGACCCTCCAGCAGCCTCTAGGAACTCAAAGTGCCTTATAAACTCCATGCTTTCCTGGCTTCTTGCGGACATAGAAACATCAGTTTATCTTTGAACCTGTGTTGACGGTGTTTCCTCGAGAGCATTTTTTTTTCCTGTGCCTGCTTCTGCTTTTCAGGGTTCTGGATTTCTCAAGACAGCCACCAAGCTTGGCTTCCTCTCTGTCCCACAGAGCAGAACTTAAGTGGATTCCTATAGGAGTTTCTTAAAAATAGCCCGGAACATTTTAAAATAAAATTTGCCATGGAAAAACTGTTGCTAAGGTCTTCAGTCTCTCTGTTAAATGCATAAGTGTGTGTGTGTGTGTGTGTGTGTGTGTGAGAGAGAGAGAGAGAGAGAGAGACCCACCAGTTGTATAATTTTATTTTCCCATTAATATCATAAGCCTGCAATGAGTGACTTCTTTAACTGGGTTGCAGATGCTCACTTTAACAGATTTCTTTTGATCTGGAACATGATAAATAAGTCAAAGAGGGATACAAATCATCTATTTTGTCTCTGTTTGTCTTAAAGACAATTTCCTTCAAAGACTATTATTAAACGGCGTCCCAAACCTAACATCATCTCCCTTAGGGGACAGGAAGTCATGGCTGACCCTCTTATGACTCCAACCACCCACAGCATGATTTCCACGTGAGGCCACGCTGCAGAAGCCTGATTAGTGTAGGGGAAGAAACTTTTTCTTGGGGGGATAAGGTCAGAAGAATTTTCCCAAGCCAGAAGGAGACTAGGCTCAGGGAAAACCTGCGACAAAATCAGCCCTCACAGTGTTGGCTTTCTGAGACCAAAAGCAGGAGAAACTCTTGCATCACCCCCTAGAGCCTGGGGATATTCTGCACCATCGGTTTTTAGATTTCCTTACTATGTCTACATACATGGGTTTTCTGTATCCACACACATCCTAGTATCTGGCCGTCTATCTTCATTATATTCCCAATTCCTTTAAAATATTTATTTGTACTTATGTGAATGGGTATGTATGTATCTGTTTGTAGCATGTGTGTGTGTGAGTCCGGGCGCCTGCAGAGGTCAGAAGAGGATCTCAGAACCCATGAAGCTGGGGTTACAGGCAATGATCCCCTTGTGAGCCACCAGACATGGATGCTGGGACCCAAACTCCAGTCCTCTTCCCTAGCAGCAAGCTCTAGCTGTCATGCTAGTCCCACTACTCCAGCGACGGTGACTGAACCCCGGGGCCTGTGCAGGCATGTGTGACAATCTCGCTCCCTAACTCTCAAGCACGTCAGCGGTGCTAAGAGGATTCGATCTTTTCTTCCATTTCTCTTTGTACAGGTTTCATGAGCGCCCCAGTAACACATTCCGGGAAACATTGTTTTGCTGACCCATCTATTCCCAACAGACCCACGGAGGGCTCTTACCAGTTCCCTGCTGGGGCGACTTCTCCTTTCTGGGTTCGGGAGGCGGGATGACCGCTATGAGTCTCTCAGACTCCCCAGGGCTGGCGTCCAGGCCTGCGGGTGGGTACTGCAAGGTGAGGCTCTGCAGGAGCGGCTTCCTGGGCAGGGGTGGCTTGATGCTGGACTGCTCAGGAGACCTGGACTTCCCTTTCCCTTGCCCATTGGGGGACCTGGAACTTCGCAGTGTCGGGGCAGGCCCAGCATGGCTCTGTTCATCCTTGGGGTGCAGGGTCAAGCCTCCTCTCTCCAACCTGACTTCGGCGCTGTACCTCTTGACTGCTTTGGCCTCCTGGGCAGAGCCGTCTCTGTACTTGAGTGAGAGCGAGGTGGACCGTAGCTTGACTGGGAAGGGGCTTTGGTCCTCCCCTGGGACTGGCTCCTTCACAGAGGAAGCACACGTATCAGCATCTTGGAGGCTGCTGCCTGGTCCTGCCTGGCCGGCCCCCATGTCCCTTGAGTCCTGAGGGTCACCACCCACTGCCTTTCTGTCCTGGGGCTCTGGCAGCACCTGGAGGTCATCAAGAGCCGCCTCGCTCTTCCAGGCAAGGCCACTCCGTAGTAAGGGTGCACGGCCCCCTGCAGGCGCATGCCCAGAATGTTCCAGAAGGCGAGAGCTGCTGGCACGGGCACGCGCTCTGCTCGAGGTCACAGAGAACCTCTTAATGTTGCGTTGTGGTTCAGTACTCCGGTCGCACTTCCTCCCCAGGGCTGCCTTCTCTGGACCCCCTGATGCTGTAGCCTGTGCAGGCCTTGGGCGGGCTGGGGGCACAACTGCTCTGTCCTGGACTCTGGGGCTGGACTCTTTCAGATGAGACTCTGCAGGGGACCTGCTGGGAGCCAGGACCTTGTGCTTCAGGCAGCTCTTAGGTACCGGAGGGCTCGGGGAAGGGACTGTGCATGACTCTGTCCCCGCTTCCTCAGACCTGGGTACCACCAGGGTCAGCTCCTCCTCTTTCTGAACACTTTGCTCCTGTCCCTCTGTATCTGAAGGTGTCTCCAAGTTGGTGTCAGTGACAACCTCAGGAGGTGGTGCCTCTTCCTTTGGAAGTATTGTGTCCCTATTGGGAGGTTCCATGATCCCTTTGGGAGGTGTCATGTCTTCGTTGGAAGGTGACATGTCTCTCTCTGGAGGTGCCATGATCCTCTTGGGAGGTGCCACATCTCCCTTGGAAGGTGACATATCTCTCTCTGGAGGTGCCATGATCCTCTTGGGAGGTGCCACATCTTCCTTGGAAGGTGACATGTCTCTCTCTGGAGGTGACATGTCTCTCTCAGGAGGTGCCACATCTCCCTTGGAAGGTGACATGTCTCTCTCTGGGGGTGACATGTCTTTCTCAGGAGGTGCTATGATCCTCTTGGGAGGTGCCACATCTCCCTTGGAAGGTGACATGTCTCTCTTGGGAGGTGCCATGACTTGTGTTGTGTCTCCCTCAGGGGGTGTTATGTCCTCTTTGGAAGGTACAGTCTCCCCTTCAGGAAGTGCTGTGGTGTCCTCAGGTGCCACCGAGTCCTTGGGAGGTGCCATGCCTCCGTCAGGGACGTCAGTAGACAGTGGAGTTTCCACATCTCCAGAATCACAAAAAACCTCCTCAGACATGTTTTCCACTAGGGGACACAGGCCTCCAGAGGACAGTTCTTCCTTCTGGATTTCACTGTGGGGAATATGGTACGGAGAATCTTGTGGCAGAGATGGGGTCTCCGGGCATGGAACTGAGACTGCCATGGGCTCAGTGAGCTCTGGCATAGCCTGATGGCTTGAGGGCTCATCTCCAGGAGAGCTTCCCTCCTCCATGCTGCCACTGACAGCTGCACTGTGCTGTAGGCGAGCCCGTCTAGCACAGGCCCCTCCAGGCAGCAGCAAGGTTGCAGGTCCCCCAAGCTCAGGCCTTCTGCCCAGCATCAAATCCCAGTGCCCGGAGCTGGGGTCCACTTCTGTGTTGACCCGGAGCAGTGGTTTCTTTTCATGTTCTTCCTCCTCCAGGGTCCATGACAGGTCACTCAGAGATTCAGACTGTGCCCTCTAAGAGAAACAGAGGTGAGAGACATCAACACTGCAGCAAATATTAGAGCCCATCGCTTCTTGGCTTCCTCTAGGACTAAACATGGTTTAGGAAACACAGTAGCTCTCAAAGACTAATGTTGAAATTGATGTCCGCGCAGATATCTTCAGCTGCCCTTATGAGTTCACATGGAACCTTGGTTCATAAACTCAACAGCTCCACGGCAGCCAGGCCATCAACATAAATGCAGCTCATGCAGCCAGATAGGTTATCACACACCTTTAATCCTAGCCCTAGGGAGGCAGAGACAGGCGGATCTCAATGAGTTTGAGGCCAACTAGCCTGGTCTATATATGGAGTTCTAGACCAGTTAGATCTATACAGTGAGATCTCCCTCACCAAATATAACATAGCTCATTTGTCCAAGCCACAAAACAAATGGTGCCTGCCTGCCTGGAGCCAAACAGAGGGGCTGGGACCAAGATAGACAACTGCCTGCTTTGTGTTCTTCATTAATTTCATTAACTCTAGACTGATCTGAGTGAGGAACGGTTGCCTTTGTCTTTTTGTAATTGGAGATCCATGGGTCCAAAGGCATGGAAACTCTGGTCAAGATGGAACTAACCGGCTGTTAATAAGAATCCCAGGAAACCAGGCAGTCTCTGGTCCTGGGCTGCGACACCAAGTCATCAGACAGCATTGCTCTCCAGGGTTGTGCCTTCATTGCAAAGTCAGATGTTTTTCTTAAAAAGTTATTTGTATCAGGTCAAACATGATGACTGTAAACCACAGAATAAAATCCAAACAGCCTTACACTCAGGTCAAGCCAGAGCACTGTGCCTGATGCTCTGGACCGCCAGGACATTCTGCTAGCACCTGCTGACTCCCTTTTACATCCTGCAGATAATTGGCCTAAGCTAATGATGCCTTCTTCTCTGGCTCGCTAATGCACTTGGTAGCTTACACTGCCTTGTGGCATCAGTTTTTTCTTCTGAAAGGCCTCTGGAGCTTAGATGCTGGCCTGGCTTCCTCTTTCTTATCAGGCACTCAATTCCTCCCCTCAGGAAGAAAATGAAAATCAAGGCAGACACAGGTCTTGGAAAAGCAAGATGTGAAAATGATTCCAGGGGTAAGTGTCCTGCGGTCGATTATTGTAAAATGTTTGTGATATCAAAACTGGGGAAACATTCAGGTTGTTGCATTAAACAGTGCTCCATCTTGTTTTCTAAGGTAGGGAATGTAACCTTGAGTGTGTGAGAGTTGCTGATATTTTATTGATTCTGGGGATCAAATCCAGGGCCTTGTGCAGCAAGGGAAGTGCTCTAACCCCAAGCTACATCCCTGACTGTTATTTTAACAGTTTCCAGCTGGCATCTGCTTGCTAAAGATCACCAAGAGTCTGGGATGTTTGTGGCTATACCTAAGCTAATTTTTGCCAAAATGCACAATTTTCTTCTTTTGGATTTCAAAAGAAGTTGAAGATTCTTTTGAAGTACAAGATTCTTGCCAAAAGCTTCAGGTTCTTGACTTGCTTATGTCACTGGCCTTTTGCCACTATAGGAAATTATTGATATCGAGCGAGGGCTCAGTAGGACATGGATCATGATTGGAAGCCATCTATCATAGAAGCCAGATCAATCCAGCTGGAATCCAGTCTGGCTAGCGCACCTTCCATCCAAGCTACTGGCAGCTACAGGAGGTGACCGGGGGGTGGGGGGATGTGGTCATATGAAGACTGGCATGGGGGTGGACTGTCCAGAGGTGGGAATCAGATCCTGAGTAGAGCCCAAACAGTGGAAAAGCAGCTTCTACATAGTCTAGAACCTCTGGCTATCTGCATCAAGGAGGAATTCAGCCTCCCCATCACTGCCAGGGTACACTGTGCCTACTCCATCCAGGCAACCTCCTTGGCATTTCCTCCTCTGGGGTTTCACAGCGGTTTGGCACTCTGGAAACATTCCGAGAAAAGAGAAATGTTCAGCCTACACCAAGATGAAGAGTCAATGGAGGCTAGCAGTATACCTGTGTCGCCCAGCCAGGAGGCAAGCTCTATGGTGCAGTTTCTGTAATCCCTGGGCAGACGCCACTGCCAACCCATGAGAGGCACAGGGGGCTGAGAGGAGGAGGCATTGGTCTCTGTGTGAACTCTGGGTCATGCATTTGACAGCTCTTTCAGCCACCAGGCAGGAACTAGTCATCCAGTCTCAGGGTTCCTATTGAAATGGAGGTGACAACATTTCCTATCCCTGGCACTGCCTGGCTAGGCCTGAGGAATGAGCAGTGTAAGGTGTAATCCTTTACAGGAATTCTGCTCCAGGTACATTTAGAACCATGCCCAGAGCCTGGTTCTGTTAGCATGGGCGACAGGGTGGAACACTAAAGCAATAGCCAGCAGCTGTTCCTCCCAGTGTCTGCTGAGGTAGAAACTGAGGGGCTCGGCCAAATATGTTTCAGCCTTGTAACAAACATCAGTCTTGATAGCCAAGGTTTCACTGTGCTAAACAGAGGTATTTTTCCTTTTAATAATAACACTTTTTATTCTTTTTTTCCTTGTTTTGTCTCTTTCATTTGTATGTGTATTTGCATGTGTAGGGGCTGTCCATGTATATATCCATGTTTGTGCATATGTGGGTATATTGTATGGATGCATATGTATATAGGTGCCTGTGATTGTGATGTCTGGAATCATCCTCAATCCATCTTCTACCTTGCTTATTGAGGCAGAGTCCCTCAGTCAAATCCAGAGCTCACGGATACGGTGAGTTTCATAAGCCAACTTGCTCTGGGCTAGAATTACCAGGGCACTGCCGTGTACACACAGCGTCATTTACTTGGGTTTTGGGGATCCGAACTCTGGTCCTTATACTTGCATGACAACTACTGAGCCATCTCTCTAGCCCCTTCCCTCCCTTTGGCTCTACAGTTTATAAGATTCGGATCCTTTATACCACGGAGTGGAGAATGTACACCCTGGTGATACAGCTGAGAATGCCCGAGCAAGGAGAGCAGCATGGATTAGAAGGGGCTGCTGTGAGGGCTCTGAGGACGCCGGTGGGTTGGGGCTTGGGGGAGAGAGAGAAAGACCCACATGCTATGGGGTATCAAAGGAGAGGGGAACCACCAGGTCTCTATAGAAGTGCCCTGTGGCTAATCGGCGGCTGAAGGGGCATTATGTGGCCTCTTCCCATCACTGGAGTAAGAGAGCATCTGAGACCCTGTTCTGGGCATGAGGAAGGCCTCTGTGGGAAGCAGAACCTCAGGACCCAGGTTGTGGATACTGATGGGCAGACACCGCCAGCTCAGCTCCTGAAGTGAACAGCGGGGCAGTGGTGACCACTAGAAGAGAGTAGATATCTCTGAGAACTTGAGAGAACCGAGCAGGGAAGGGGAAAGGGGAAGGGAGAAATAAGGAGTTTCAGTTAGGATCAACTGTCTTCCCATGTTTTTCCCAGGCTGACTGACAACAGATTTTTGTTGTAGTTATTTTACAAAACGGTATTCTAGGATGAAGGCAAGTTTAAAACTCAAGAGAGTTGCAGCAATGTCGCGGGGTGGAGAGGGCCGCAAGAGGGGGTGCTACTTATACGAGTCTACATGAGTTCTAGCAGGGTCTGGAGTTCCCAGTTCATCAGGTTCCCATAGCATGTGGGCCTAGCTATTCATCGGACACACAGAATGGATCCAAATGCCCTGGTTTCCAGGTAGCCACATCAATCTGAAGGTAACTCCCCTGCACCTTCTTCTAGTACTGATTCCTAAAAAGTTCACCCTGTCAGTCTGTGTTTTCAGAGCAACTTCCACATTCTAAACAGAAAACTCACTCCCTTCAGGAAGTCCCTGAAACCCAAGTGGGCCCTGCTGTTTGTCTCCAGCTGGTATGTCTAGCTTGTCATGAAGTCTTCAACACCTACATTTGTGAGTCCATCTCCTGGGCCATGCTTGCCCCACCCCTTGCCCTCTGGCCCTTTCCTTGTCTAAGTCCTGTCCCGATAAGAGAAATCCAGGAATGGGGAGTGTCAGGCTTGGCCCAGGACACTGTGAATTCTTGGTGTTTGCAGAATGAATAAATGCATGCAGGTATTGATATCTAAATAGGGTGTTTATGCAAGAGAGAGATGCCCGATTCAAGGTGCAAAATATGAGCAAGACTAGCGTCTCCCGTGTGGTTTTATCCACCACGGAGGTGTTCAAATGGGCTGTGTGGCTAGGCAGTGGGTGGGACTGTCCTGTCTGCCCATCCCATCCCACCCCTACACGGAGGAGGAAGGGCAATTACCGAAGACAGGCGCCTCATTTTACTTGATCGCTGGTTGCGGGGCTTAACCAGGAGCTTGTGTTTAGCTGCAGAGTTGTCCAGGCAGGAGGAGGACTCAGGAGGGTGGCTGAAGTCAGCCACAGGTGCCAGGCTGCCATCCAAGGTCCGAGAGGAGACGGTGGCATCGCTCGTGTGGTCAGGAGACTGTGGCTGCGATGAGGACACTAAGATCTTCACAGTACAAGGAACAAACACACCAACATTAATTTAGTGACAAAGGGAGGAGACCGCTGTCCTACCAACTTCTGTGCTATCTTTGGACTGTACCTGGGAAAAAATATTTTCAATTGGCTTTTGACAGAGGATGTTTTAAAATGTCCCTTTAGAGCAAATGGCTGGGAGTTCAAAGGCTGGGGGCCAACCCCAAGGCCCTGTGAACAGGGTTCTTTAACAGGGAGACTTTCCATAATAACTTTCACCAGCAAAATAGACTAGCCCAGTGTTCCCAGGGGTGGAGGAACCTGCCACTTTCATTGAGCTGGGAATGTGGCCCAGCAGTGAGCTCTCAGGGTTGCAGGTCACAGGAAGCGCTGAGCCCCCTGCTGCAGCCTTTCTTCTGGTGCTTTCTTTGTTCATTCTAAAGGGTCTCTGCAACCTCTAGGGGAGCCTGGCTTCCAGCTACCTGTAGCTAAGCTACAGATGTGTTACTAGTTTACACCTCAGCGGGGAGGAACTGAATTGCCAAGGGGGGAAGGGGCCTTTGGCAGCCACATGGAAGAATGAAACACCTGCCCCACTGAATACAGGGAGCCCCACTCCACTGAATACAGCAAGCCCCTTCTTGGAGTGCTGACTATCCTGCAAAGGTGTGTATCACAACAAAGCAGACACTATAACACATGCAGGCCAGATGAGGAGCAAGGCACACAGCAAGAATCTCTGTGTTGGGCTTTAAGAACAACCCTGGCACCTTTAAGAAGCAAGCAAACATAGATAAATGAAAACAAAACCTGCCCGTTCTTATTGGAGCACTGGACTGAATATTAGAGTTAAGTTTACATTTTTGGTTTGTTTGTTGAGATAAGGTCTCTCAATATAGCGCTGACTGTATTGGAATTCAATATATAGGTCAGGATGGCTTTGAATTTACTAAGATCTGAATGCTTCTGCCTCTCAAGTGCTGGGATTAAAGTTATACATCACCATTCCCAAATTTTGGTTTCCTACGATGACAGTAGACTGGATATACTATCTAATAACAGATGGAAACCTCAGAAATCTTTTTAAAATATAGTAATTTTTAAAATATAGTATTTATTAAAATATAGTAATAAAAAAGTAATAACCAGAGGAGTAAAAGATTAGGTAAGCGCTGGCCCAGCACAGTGGCCTCCATCTGGCTAATTAAAATCTGTGCAGTGGCGATCAGGTTTAGAATTGAGCTGCTTCTTCAGTGACACAGCCAGCTGCTGTGGGAGTCAGAGGCTCCTGGGGTACAGCAAGGAGGGCAAAGTCAAAGATGAGTCAGTACCAGGTCACCCCCAACAGGAAGCTCCTCACCACAGAGCCCGGCACACACAGCCTTATTTAAACTGGAAAAGGGACAATGGGATGGCACACAGAAAGTGTTTTAATGCGTTCTCAGGTGCAGCTTTAACTCACTGAACAAGGCAACAGGACAGACCGCCTTCTTATCACCTAGCCGTGTCTGAAGTTGGAGAGCAGGTGCGGGCAGCATACTGTTTCTAGACCCAACTCTCACTGTGAGCAGGGATATGTTCACCCTGGAACCAAGTTCTGGGAGTGATTCTTCTGGGCAGCTCCATAGCAGTTCCCAACCCTAGAGATGACTTAAAACCAGGTACATCACAGTTCTGACTTTTCCTCAGTAATATTCTGGGAGCTCACAACTACAAAAAATAACCAGCACACGTGGGGGAACGAGGAAGGAGGAACATCTGTGTCCCAGAGTCAAGTGGTTACTGAATACAATTCCAAGCAACCCGGAGGTGAAACTCTATAGTTTCACTGTAAGCCATGCCCTGGCCAGGGCTGAATGTGATCCAAGTAAGTCCAAGGCAGATGTGCTGCACAGCTATCAAACACGAACTCTGCTCTTTGTTTGTTTCTCATGGGTCAATATAATTTGGATCATTCCAATTCTTTCTGCCCTCAGCAAGGCTTATTAATATTGGGAAAATGGCCATCTGTTTTTATCATTTGTATATGAATATCTTATACGGATATTAATGTTCTTATCACAAACAAAAAACTCATGGCATCACGAGTGTGTTGGGGTGTTTATTCATGAGAGAGGGAAGGCAGTGTTTAGAATTACTTCTCCAGTGACTGCAGTCAGACCCTGCTGGGTCAAACGTCACGGGTTGCCTTGTTTCCCAGAGGGCCCCATGGGATTTGCCCAAACCAACAGGTTCCTTCACTTATGACTGGGGCATAGAGCTGAGTGCTACTAAGTGTTTACTGTTCACTTCGTCCTCGGGCCAATGTCACAATAGCAGGGAGACACACAAGCAGCTAGTTCCCTTTGCACAAGTATTCTGGATCTGGCCATCTGCTCAGACAAGACAAGGCACAGAGCAGATGGCATCAGAGTGACCACACAACCACACAAAATGATAGTGTGCAGCCTCTCTCGTTCGTGGAGAGATTGCAGGAGGCACGGAGGGCCTCCAGAGTTCTAGCAATGCTTAGTGGCAGACGTGGATGGAAACGTTCGAGGGTACACACTGCACTTGCCTTTATAGTCGTGCCTGGACCCGCGTCATGAAGCAGGGACATCTCTGGGGGGCTCCGGGGCAGTCCGTCATCCTCGGAGCTTAAACCAGTTTCCTCCGCCCTCTTGATAGGAATGCCTCCTGGAGGCGGTGGCCCCATTTTCACGTTACATTGTATCTTTAACTAGATTGAAGGAACAGCAGCCAGCCTTAGTATTTTCACCAATAACAAGCCTTCCTGCCCCGATTCATTCATTCAGGAAATACTTTCAACCACCCTTGCACGCTGCAGAGGGCTGACCTGAATGAGTGCCTGCCCACATTTTGCTCACTGCTGTGCTGTCCTTATTCCTTAGGCAGTCACATCCCAGCAGGGCATCCCTCATAATGGGGCTCACTTGCCTGTCCGAGGAGAACTGTGAAGACCGGCAACTCCACTTTCAATTGTATCAAATTGTTAAGTTGAAATCCCTTAGAAACTTCTGGGTTGACACTGGACAGACACCCAAGTGACAGTGCCAAGCAAATACCTGCAAAGCCTTGATCCGGTCACACACATTTTCTTGGGAAAACACCCGCACAGGCCGAGCAGGGTCCTGTCCCGATTCAGGAAAGAAAATACTGTCGTGTGAGAGGGCACGGTTGCCTAGAGTGCCCCTGGACTCCCTAGGAGAAAAAAAGTCACTGTGAGCTTTTGCCCACCTCCATCAGTCCCTGATCTTAGGGAATGAGATTGAGAAAGAGGGTGCATAAGTGACATATTCTCCTAGCCCCCTCTCTCTGTCATGCACAGTCACTGGCAAACACTCGACAGAGCATTCTACAGAAGGGCATTCCCCGAAGATAGCTGAAGGCTGTGGGAGATTTTTGTTTTTAATTAGTGGAAAAAACAAAGTTTGATGAAGTGTGAGGTCCAAGACTGCAAAACCTAGAGAGGGAAGGTTGATGCTGGCTGGGACTCTGTCCCAGATGTCCTGGGAGGGGGAGGTTATGAACTGTGGGCTAAGCTAATGGGCAGCCCCACCATGCGCTGGAGGCTGTTGGCACGGCAGCATCTCCCCAAGATGGTTCGGATCACACACCTCTGGCCCATTTGAAGCAAGAAGGGCAAGTCTGCAGAGACAGCCCTGTTTGCTGCCCTGGCACGGTTTGTGCACCCTACCACTGCACTTGTGACTCGAAGCATGGAAGCCAGGCTCCAACCCCAAGAACCTGATTTGGAACTGAAATCACAGGACAGTCATAAAACGCTCTCAGAGGATGTGGGAATTAGCTGTCAGACTTTCCTAGCCTCCCAAATAATAGGTGGAAGGAGATGACTGAGGCTGTCGGTGAAGGAAGGAAAGCCGCCTCTGGATGCACGGGAGCCCCACCCTGCCCTCCTTGGGCATCCTGTCCTCTATGGGACACTGGGGACTCTGAGGTGTGGCCCATTCCCCTGCAGCATATCCAGCTGCATTAGTAGCGCGCGCGCGCACACACACACACACACACACACACGGACACATGCTCGAGGACACAAGTGCTCTTTTATTGAGCACCTGGCTCAAAGGTGTTTCCTTTCTAGGCTGCAATAGCAAGCTTGCAAGTGGAAATCCAGAGTTCCCAGATGGGGTATCTTCACAGGTACTTAGAAGGTCTCAGCTCAGAGAGCACAAACTAACAGCAACTCCCAGTGCTAAGGCCAGACACACACCTAGATTTACTCCCTACAGTCAACAGCCTGTTTCTAGGTCACCCCCTAGAAATCATAACTACCAGCCAAACACCTCTGGTCCAGATATAGCTAAGAATAGAGGCAGCAGGAAGAGGCCACTGGCACAGGGGAAAAAAACCTCAAGAGGCCACGGGCACATGGTCATTTATTATTGCAATGTCTATACAATGGGAAACAACATGTATGTCCTTCAGTAGGTGACAAAACAAATGAGCTACAGTCTGTCTGATGAAGGGCTGGGTGACCGAGAGGGTGAGAACTCTGAACTGGCATGGGCTTACTAGAGGACACCAAATGAAAACAGAACATGCTGTGGGATGATGCTCTTCTACACTGTAAAGATTTGTCACTCATATTGGTTTAATAAAATGCTGACTGGCCAGTCGCCGGGCAGGAAGTATAGGCTGGGCAACCAGACTAAGAGAATTCTGGGAAGAGAAAAGGCAGAGAGCCAGTCACCAGCCAGATGAGAATGCCTTAGTGAGAAAAGGTGCCAAGTCACGTGGCCAAACATAAACAAGAATTATGGGTTAATTTAAGTTGTAAGAGCTAGTTAATAATAATCCCAAGCTAATAAACCAAACAGTTTATAATTAATACAAGCCTCTGTGTGTTTCTTTGGGACTGAACAGGTGTGGGACTGGGAGAGACAGAAACTTCCATCTACTAGAACACATGAGACAGAAGTGTGTTTGTGGTACATCAGCTGTGTTTGAGAGGAGGGTGGGTATATATTCAAATATGTGTTGAGCATGTTCACGTGCCTACTAATAATTTTTAAAATAAAAAAATGGTACATGGAAGATACACAAGAGTGGTTTCTTTAAGTGGGAAGAAAAGAACTAGATAGGGAAACAGGGTCAAAGGTAACAACATTTTCACTTTTGTCTTTGGAACTATTTAATGTGTTACACAACAAGACACAAAATCAATCAAAAAGGGAAGTCTCTAAGACTAGGAAAACAAAACAAAAACAAAAGAAGCCTAATTTTATGGCAGACATGATGGCACATGCTTGTAGTTCCAGCACTGGGGAGGCAGAGGCAGGAGGATCCTGATAGAGAAGGGGAAAAAGAAGTTACTCTGCCATAGGAGGAAAACAGTAATTTTGCTGAAGTCCATGTTTTTCAGTATAACAGAAGACAGAATACAAAGAAAAAAAAAGTAAGAAAGTTCATCTTTCCTGGAATTGTGTCAGTGAGTGAACTGCTCAAAATTCTCTTAAAAATAAACCATTTCCTACTTCAATCCATGAGAGGTCTAGAAGCCATGGTAGCCAACTAGCAATCATGACCACTGAATCATGACCACAATGTGCTTTCTGAGACAACTTCACCTTAAAAGGAAGGAAACAAAGCTTGCGAAAAAGATCCAAGCCAGGAAATATCCAGCATCAGCCTGGAATGGCTCACTGCATAGGAAAGCAAGGGACCTCTCGAAGATGGCTGGGTTCAGGACCAAAAGAGCCAGAGAGCTAATGGGAAGTGACCCTTGATAGCCCAGCGCGACACAATGGGTAAAGATTGCTATTGATCAAATCAAATCAAATATATTCAAACTCAGTGTGTTTGGAGTTGATAAGTGGCTCAGCTGGTAGAGTGCTTGCCTAGCAAGCACAAGGCCCTGGGTTCAGCCTGCAGTACCACATAAAAATGGTTGTGGTGGCATACACCTATAATCCCAAGGTGCTGAAGATAGAGGGAAGAAAAAAAAGTTCAGGTGGTCCTTGGTTACATGATGAATTTGAGGCCAGTCTGGGTTACTGTTGGGGACTGCGGACCACCAGACCCTGAATTTCTTGTAAACAACTTGTTTTCCTCTGCTCTGAGCAGCCTGCAGCTGCTCTGACCCCGAGACCCTGATGGTAGGGGAGTGAGTTCTGATGAGTCTGCAGCTGAAAGAGCCCGAGAGCTGGGGCGTGGCCAGAGCCCTACATAAGCTGCCCCTGAGCACAATAAAGTGGGCATTCTTGTATCGAGGATGACCCGTGTCCGGCGTCTCTGTCTGTCTGTCTGTGTGGATGTGTTTTAAGTCTCCCGCTTAGTTCCTGGCTTGCAAACCATCCTGTAGTGCAGGCACCACAGGTTACATGCAATTCTGTCTAAAGAAAATAAATAAATATTAAAAAAGTAAATATTAAAAAAAACAGACTGTGTTCATAATGATTCTTTAGTGAGGGGAAAGCCTAATTTTCAGGTCACTATTAGAATGTGTGAAGGTGTCAGGTACTACTCCAGGAGTGGAGCAAACAAGCATCATTCTGTTTTCCTTGAATAGATTGTAATTTAGGCTATCATGAAGTTGACGACGGAAAGCTATTTTCTTATTTTATATTTATTTAATTTATACATATACGAGGGTTTGCCTAGATATATGTACAACACATGCCTGCCTGGTGCCTGTGGAGGTCAGAAAAGGACATCGATCTTCTGGAACTGAAGTTACAGATGGTTGTGAGCCACCATGGAGGCGCTGGGCGCTAAACCCAGGTCCTCTGCAAGAGTAACAGCTACTCAACTGCTGAGCCACCTCTCCAGCCCCTGACACAGGACAGTTCTTCACAGAAGAAGCTAGCAAAATGCAAAATGAATGTAGAAACAGAAATGCTCCAGTTTCGCAGAGGAAATGAACCATCCACCACACTGTGAAGAGCATCAGGTGAGGGCTGGTCTAGTATTGACATTGACCACCGAGGATCCAGAGGTCGACTGCAGCATCAGTGGATTGGAGATGCTCAAAGCGTATGGGCCTCTTGATACCTCAGGGGCAGCCCAAGCTCAGCATGCCTCTAGAGCAGTGGTTCTCAGCTTCCTAGTGCTGCACCCCTTTCATACAGTTTCTTATGTTGTCGCGACCCCACAACCATAACGCTGTTTTCGTTGCTGCTTCATAACCGTACATTTCACTACTGTTATGAATCGTAATGTAAATATCTGGTATGCAGGACAACCGATGTGTGACCCCGAAGGGTCGTGACCCACAGGTTGAGAACTGCTACTCTAGATCAACACGAGTTTCTACAGAATTAGAAGAACACAGGCTGTAGCCCAGGGGGACGGAGAGCAGATGCAGAGAACAGCACGTCCTGTAGGCAAAAGGACCCAGAGGGGGCTGTCACCAATGAAGCCAGCACCAAGACACCCAGCACAATAGGCTGCTCTTGGCCTCATAGAAGTTGCCGCAGAGGCTGGTGGCTGATTCTCAGAGAGACTAAGAAAGGGTTTCTTCCTCAGTGCTGACCTTGATAATGTCATTGTTCTTTCCAGGACCTCACTGTAGCCCATCTCTAGTTACCTTTAAAGTTTTCTTTTATCTTTAATTATGTATGAGGGTGTGGAGGGGTGCACGTGAGTACAGGTGCCTGTGAGGACTGGTGGGTGCCCACGAAGGCCAGAGGGGTTGAGTCTCCTGGAGCTGGAGTTAGGCAGCTGTGTGCTACCTGCGGAAGGTGCTGAGAACCCAACTCAGGTCTTCTGTGTAAGTCACATGCAATCTTAACTAGCAACCTCCATCCTTCCTTTCTTATTAACGAATGCCAATCATGTTCCTACCAGGTGCTAGCAGTCACAGACAGATATCAATGACCCTGTCCCCATGTTCCCTGGGTTCCTATGAGAAGCATTCCCCCATGGCTATGCTCCTGTTTGAGGCTGGATGGATCACTCCCAGGCTTGTTTCTGAACACCGGGAAGTGTGTGTGTGTGGGGGGGTGGGCATTAGAGTTCTCCTGGGGCTAGCCAGGACTGCCTTCCAGCACCTCCACAATTGTGCACAGTCTTACAAGGTACCCACGTGCCCATTCTGCTTCTAACTAGCTCTGGGAGGAGGAGGGGAGGGACTTCAAACTCTGGTTTTCCATCTTCACGCATCTAGTGCCACCAAGTGGCCAGTGTAATTTCTCCTCCTCAGAGAAGGGCTGCCCTGTCCCTGTCTCCGGAGCACCGCCATTCTCTCCGGTATTTTATCCTGAAAAGAGAGTCGATGTTTAAAAGACATTACAATGTTGATCCTCCCAATCCAAGAGCAAGGGAGGTCCATCCATTTTTTGGTATCCTCTTCAATTTCTTTCTTCAATGCCTTAAAGTTCTTGTCAAATAGATCTTTCACTTCCTTGGTTAGATTTACCCCCAGATATTTTATGCTGTTTGTGGCTATCGTGAATGGTGAAGCTTCTCTAATTTCCCTCTCTGCTTCCCTATCCTTTGTGTATAAGAGGGCGACTGATTTTTTGGAGTTGATCTTGTATCCTGCCACATTACTAAAGCTGTTTATCAGCTGTATAAGTTCTTTGGTGGAGTTTTGGGGGTCGCTTATGTACACTATCATATCATCTGCAAATAACGAAAGTTTAACTTCTTCCTTTCCAATTCGAATCCCCTTGATCCCATTATGTTGTCTTATTGCTATTACACTATCCTGAGTGAGGTGTCCCAGACCCAGAAAGATGAATATGGGATGTACTCACTCATAATTGGTTTCTAGCCATAAATAAGGACCACAGAGTCTACAATAGGTGAACCTAAAGAAGCTAAGGAAGAAGGTGAACCGAAGGAAAAACATATAGTTGTCCTCTTCGCTAAGGGAAGTAGACCAAATTTCCGGGGAGAAAATGGGATCTTGGGGGGGGGGGGGGTGGGATGGGGGTAAGGGGAGATGGGGAGAGAAAAGGTGGAAGGGAAGGAGGGGGGACCTGGGAAATGGGAGAATTGGGATGAAGGAAGGGTGGATAGGGGAGCACGGAACCACAATTCTTAGTTAAGGGAGCCACTTTAGGGTGGGCAAGCGACTTGACCCTAGAGGGGCTCCCTAGTGCCCAAGATGAGGTTCCCAGTTAGTTCCTTGGGCAGCTGAGGATTGGGAACCTGAAATGACCCTATCCTAGAGCAATACTGACGAATATCTTGCATATCATCATAGAATCTTCATCTGGTGATGGATAGAGATCGAGACAGTGACCCACACAGGAGCACTGGACTGAGCTCCCAGGGTCCCAGGGAGGAGCAGAAGGAGGGAGAACATGAGCAAAGAATTCGGGACCACGAGGCGTGCATCCACCCACTGAGACGGAGGAGCTGATCTACGGGGAGCTCACCAAGGCCAGCTGGACTGTGACCGAAAAAGCATGGGATAAAACCGGACTCTCTGAACATGGCGAACAATGAGGGCTGACGAGACACCAAGGACAATGGCAGGGGGTTTTGATCCTACGTAATGTGCTGGCTTTGTGGGAGCCTGGCCAGTTTGGATGTTCACCTTCCTAGATATGGACGGAGAGGACCTAGGACTTAACACAGGGCAGGGAACCCGGACTGCTCTGTGGACTGGAGAGGGAGGGGGAGAGGAGTGGGGGGAGGGGGAAAAGGGTGGGAGGAGGGGGAGAAGGGTGGGAGGAGGGGGAGAAGGGTGGGAGGAGGGGGAGAAGGGTGGGAGGAGGGGGAGAAGGGTGGGAGGAGGGGAAGGGAAATGGGAGGCTGGGAGGAGGTGGAAACTTGTTTTTTGTTTATGTTTTTTTTTCTTCTTTTCGCAATAAAAAAAAAAGACATTACAAGCTACCTCTTCTCTTTTCTAGAGCTCACATGACTGTGGGGGTAGTGGGGAGAGACAACATGGCTGCGTTGTGATGAAACACAAGTTAGAAAAATCAAGGTTTTGTCCACAAGGGCTGCCTGAATGTCTATCCCCAGTGTATCTGAATTGATTAAGCCCAGACAACCAGAAGCCACTTTTCCATCTGATGGCCATGTTCTAGCTCATGTGCTCTTATTCGATCAGTCAGCGTTTAAGTTTAGAGGGATGAGTGCTCCCCACATTGTGCTCCAGGTCCTTGAGCATTCTTGGTTAAATTAAACCAGGGTCTGCATCCCAGTGTTGCCCTTTCTGCATGCGATACTAGACAGGTTCCCAGGTGGCTTGTGGCTGATTTTGCTCATTTCTGTGATGGTTCATAGCATCCCCTCATACAGCTGCTGTGCACTTAAACATCTGTGGGGTGCAGGCTGGTGCACACACGCCACAGTGCCCAACTGCACGCCAGAGGGCAACCTCAGGGGGTAGTCCTTGCCTTCCAACTTGTTTGAGACAGGTCCTGTTGTTGTTCACCACTGCACCTAGGCCAGCTCGCGCACAGGCTTCTGGGATTCCTGTCTCTGTCTCCCACCTGGCTATGGGAGCTCTGGAATTAGAGACCTCATAGAACTATCTTCCCAGGCCTCACGGTGAACTTACAGGTTGTTTTTAGATTTTTAAAATTTGTTTTACACACATGAGGGATTTGCCTGCATGTATTTCTGTGTGCTACATGCGCAGGTCCAGCACCCTTAGAGGCACGGGATACCTCAGAATTAAGAGTTCCGGAGGGCTGTGAGTCATAATGTGGATGCTGAGAAACAAACCCCAGGCCTCTGCAAGAGCAACCGTGCTCTTCACCACCGAGCCATCTCTCCAGCCCCCATTACTCTGGACTTTTAAATACTCATAGCACCCAGTGGGTAGCAACTGCACAATCAGGTTTCCCTCACCGTCGTCCATCCCTGTGTTTGGAAAGCTAAGAAACGCGCACCCCACACTGAGGCACTCCCTAAGGGGATCGTCCAGGATGCAAGGAGGCCCAGGAGCCTGCCAAGTTACCAAGGCACTGGAGTAAGAGTGATGGACGTCTCCTGGGCCCAGTGTCCCCTCCTCCTTGAGCCTCACAAGCCAGAAGCACACAGAGGCAACTTACTCCAGCTCATCTTCAGAGTCGTAGCCCACTGGCCCCGACTCAATGGCAATGACCTCGCTCTTGGCCTGATTCTGCTTCCAGGTGCTGTTTCCCGTGGATGAGGGCGATTCCTTTCTCTTCTTCTTCCCAAACAACTTCTTAAAAGTTTTAAACTTGGATTTTTTCTTTCCTATACAGACAACAAGAAAAAAAAAAAAAAGATCAGCGGGCAGGTGTATTGGAGTGCAGGCGTGTGATGGGCCCAGGTGTCAAGAAAGCAAGGACTCAGTGACAGAGGCACATGACCTAGAAGGCCTGTGCCCCCCAAACACATATTGGTTTCTATCTTTTAAAAAAATTAAAAGTTTGTGTGTATACATGTTTTTCCTGGGTGTATGTCTGTGTAACCATGACGAGAGCACCGGATTCCCCAGCAGTGGAGTTACAGATGATTGTAAACTGCCATGTGGGCAATAGGATCCTTTGGAAAAGCAGTCAGTGCTCTTAACCGCGAGCCATCTCCCCAAACCCCTTGTTTTCCATCTTTAGGATCTCAGTAAATGAGCCAAGAACGCAGGAGCATGAGCAAGGAATCAAACCCAAGCCAGCTTCCTCTCACCTGATTCCATGTTCTTTAAGTCTCTGGAATAGGCATACCATTTCATACATAACGTACACATGGCAGATCAGGCAAAGGCTGGATGACAACCCAAGCTATTTTCTTAAGAAATACATTATTTTCCAAGGATTTGTTTTATTTTTAAGATTGGGGGGGGGTGAGAAAGAGGAGCAAACCGTGGCTTTCCCTAGGTGAGAGGTTGCGTCCAGCCTGACCGCCTTAGCTGTCACCTTCATTCTTACCCACAGGGCCTATCAGACCCAGGAGCCCATGACGTCGCCAGGGCAACTCAGCCACGTTCACCACTTCCCTTCTGCGTAAGTGTAAGACAGGACAGCAAGGGGAAACTGAGTCAGAGAGCTCAAGCATGCTGTGTGACGGGGCAGAAGTTTGCAAATAAATAAGTTTACAAACGGAAGTGATTTAATGGTCAGCTAATGATCTAATGGTCCCCTGGGAAGTTCACGTGACCTTGCCTTCACCTGAGACCCTGCCAGCAAGACTGGAGCAAACGCCTCTCCACAGTGGACAACTTCCTAATGGTAGTTTGTTTTAACATCCAGTGGAAACTTCCTTTCACACCATGAAATGTTTATCTTGGGTGCAGATGGTGCTCCGTCCAGAGTTTACGTTGAAAGACTCTCAGGAGTTCTTTGCATTTGATAGGGACACCACCTGGCCTCTCGATAGTCAACAAATTATTAGGCGTCCCTGGAGACCTGGACAAAAAAACGACCTAACACCCAGGTGTGCTCGGGGCATGAACAGTGGGGGAAGGAGGCGGCTACAAAGAGCAGAATGCAACAGCTGTGCCCTCTTCTGCCAACTGAAACGCCAGCTTCGGGCAACTTGGCACCCTCTTCTGGTCTCTGCAGGCATTGCGTGTGTACAGACGCCTGGATCAGTTTAACCACCTAAAGAGTTAATCAGCCATCTCGCTGGTTTTGATTTCTTCCTTTCCTAAGCATTGTGAGCCAGCTTCTTAAACAGATGCAGGACTGATCACTTGCCAACTTCTCCAGTCTGTTATGTTGTTTCACTTATGGAGGGATTTGTCTGCGTCTCAAGATGTCAAAGCTACTGGCAAACACGACACTCATATGGGCGGGTGTCCATAGGCTCTGAGGCCGTGCCTCCTTTCTCATGCCCAGGGTTAACTATTTGTACCTCCTCCTCCTCCTTCTTCCTGGGTCAACTACACTGATGACTCCCGAAGAGTCAGGCTCTTCTAGGGCTCCAGCATGCTACGAGAGCCTTACCTGAGCAATATCCCCAGGTCCAGCCCTGCTATTTTATTTCTTTTAAAGGTTTGTTTGATTGAACACCTACAATTTTTTGAACCTTCCCTGCTTTGCTAATAAATACATTTCAGGAAACATTTCTCTCTAGATCTGTTAAGTTCTACACATTACAGAAGTTTGTGTTTTCATTATTACGTGGTTAGAAGTATTTTCTGGTTTCCGCGGCCATACCTTTTTAGATCTGTGAGTTCTACAAAAGGCATGTCTTCATTTCCAAGCACTTGGCAATCCACTATCTCTTTGTTATGAATTTCACTGCAGTGAAATAATGTACTCTGAATTTTGTTCTGCTCAAATCTGTTGAGACTTACTTTATGGTGTGCTGTGGGACAATGGTCTGTACCCTGTCACTTGTATTTTAAATAAACGCTGACTGGCCAGTATCCAGACAGGATGTATAGGCAGGGCAACCAGGCAGGAAGTAGAGGCGGGGTAGTAAAAACAGGAGAATTCTGGGAAGGGGAAAGCATAGTCTGCAGTCATCACCCAGACACAGAGCAAGCAAGGTGTGACTGCCTCACCGAAAAAGGTACCAGACCACGTGGCTAACACAGACAAGTATAATAATATAATACTACAATAATATAATATAAGTTATAAGAGTAATAAGAAGTCTGAGCTACTAGGCCAATCAGTTTATAATTAATGTAGACCTCTGTGTGTTTTCTTTGGGACTTAACAACTGTGGGAAGTGGGCAGGACAGAAACCTCAGTCAAAAATCAAAAATGGTGTACCATATTAACAGTTTCCATAGGCTTTCCACAGTACTCAGAAAACAATGCATTTTCTTCTCTGTTTTAAAGATGACAACTCAGACATGCCATTTTATTTTTGTTTTTATATTTTAAATCTTTACTATTTTTTTTAAATAAATTCATCCTAACAGTTTCAGAGAGCAAGAGAAATGGTTTTATTTATGTTTTTTTTTAAGCTGTCAATTTCTACTTCACAACTTTTAAGGGTGTACCAGTGGCAAACTTAGGTCTTTGACAATATCTTTGTGTCTCCCTCGGTCCTGACACGCATCCTTCTCAGGATTGGCCTTCCAGGTTGGTAGTTATTTTTTCTAATGAGCCACAGTTTTGTGGGTTCTACTGTGTTGTTAGGAAATCAGCTATCACTTTTCCTTTTGTTCCTGTGAAGGTAGCCCTCCCTTCCTTGGACTAATTGGTTTTCTAATTTGAACTTTGGCTTTCTACATTTTTTTCCCTTTGTATTTTTACTGCCCTTTAATTATCCCTCCTAGGAGTCACTGGGTTTCTTGTATTTAATTGATTATTTTATTTTATTTTATTTTTTTTGAGACAGGGTTTCACTGTAGCTTTGGAGCTCTTGTAGACCAGGCTGGCTATGAACTCACAGAGATTCACCGGCCTCTGCCTCCCAAGTGCTGGGATTAAAGGCATGTGCCACCACTGCCCAGCTCCATTAATTTAGTTTTATTTAGGTATATGTTTGTACAAACGCAGTGCGTACAGAGGCCAGAAGAGGGTGCCAGATGGCCTGAAGCTGGAGTTTCAGGTGGCCTGGTTGGGAACCAAACTCAGGTCCTCTGCAAAAGTAGCTGGCAAATATTATTAAGCATTGAACCGTCTCTCAGATTCCTCATGGGGCGTCTTAAATCTGTGGACAGGGCTATTGCTTTGTTGTTGTTTGATTTTTTTTAACAATCCTAGAAAATTCATGGGCATCATCTCCTCTCTGAGCCTGTGTGAATGCATGCCCCTGGCTGTCACTTAGGTGTGAATGAATGCTTCAGGCTATCACTTAGGTAAGAATGAATGCTTCAGGCTATCACTTAAGTGTGAATGCATGCTTTGAGATATGGGTGTGAATGAATGTTTCAGGCTATCACTTAGGTGTGAATGAATGTTTCAGGCTATCACTTAGGTAAGAATGAATGCTTCAGGCTATCACTTAGGTGTGAATGTATTCTTTGAGATATCACTTAGGTGTGAATGGATGCTTCAGAATATCACTTAGGTGTGAATGAATGTTTCAGGCTATCACTTAGGTAAGAATGAATGCTTCAGGCTATAACTTAGGTGTGAATGCATTCTTTGAGCTATCACTTAGGTGTGAATGGATGCTTCAGAATATCACTTAGGTGTGAATGCATGCTTTGAGATATCACTTAGGTGTGAATGCATGCTTTGAGATATCACTTAGGTGTGAATGGGTGCTTCAGGCTATCACTTTGCTCCACCTTTGTCTTTTCCCATCTTGTCAGCATTCCACTCTACATTTTATTTGATTCCCTGTATGATCTTGACCCAATGCAATCTAATCTTGTTCCGAACATTGAAGTTTTACTAATTATATTTTACTTTTAAAAATCCACTTGTTTTAAAATTTGCAGTGCCATTTAACATTTAAATTATTTTAAATTATGGCATCCGTAGAGCAGCAATGATGTCCTCAATCCAGAGGCAGACCATCAGTCCATACCATTTCCTCACGCTTCCCATCCTTAACATGTAGCTGTTCATGGGTCTGCTCTTAAGAGTTCTGGGTCAAGTCACAGTGTGTAGAGTGGTCACCATACATACATCACCTTTTGATTCTGACTTTTTCACCTAGAAACTCATTTACATTGCCAGTAGACACCAAGAGTGTATTCCTTTTTATTGGTGAGTAATGTTTCATTATATAGATATATTTATTGATTGGCTGATTGGTTGGACAACTTTTGGCAATCACGAATCAAGTCACTTTCAGGTTTTGTGTAAACATAAGTTTTCATTGCCCTTTGAGTAATACTTCAGCATAGGGTGTTTGTGTTTAACTATTTCTCTCTGTAACAGCCCTGGCTGTCCTGGAACTCGCTCTGTAGACCAGGCTGGCTTGAGCTCACAGAGATCCACCTGCCTCTGACTGCTGCTGGGATTAAAGGTGTGTGCCACCACTGCCTGGTCTGCCAAAATGTCTTTCAAAATATCATTTTGTATTCTACAAGGAACAGCATCATGACCAATTTGTCCATATTCTTAGGTAAACCATCTTTAAAGTACCTGTACAATTTTAAATTAGACTTGTTTATTATTATAATAATTATTATTATTTTATGTCACATAATTTCAAATGTATGCTATAATTTTTAAAAATATCTATTTATTTATTATGTATACAGTATTCTACCTGCATGTATGCCTGCAGGCCAGGGCACCAGATCTCATTACAGATGGTTGTGAGCCACCATGTGGTTGCTGGGAATTAAACTCAGGACCTCCAGAAGAGCAGCCGGTGTTCTTAACCACTGAGCCATCTCTCCAGCCCATATGCTATATATATATTTTTTAAACAGTCTGACTTAAAGTTTTCCCAATCTGTGACTTTTATTTTTATTTTCTTAATAGTGTTCTTGCAGAGAAAAGGTTTTCAATTTTGATGAGTTTCCATTTATAAAATTATCTTTTATGGACTGATGGGTCAAATCTGAGAAATTCGGTCTCACTGTAGGGGAGAAGAATGTCCTCTCCTCCTCTCTGGAAGGGGTTAGAGTCTGACATCTATAGCACACTTGCAACTGTTTCGGATCATCGGTGAAGTGCGGATTGCTGATGCCTTTTGCTTTCTTTCTCTCTGTTTCCTTCCTGCTCTCCCTTCTCTTTCTTCTGTCATTGATTGTACTTTATCTTATGTATATGAATGTTTTGCCTGCACGTATGTAAGTATACCACGTGCATACATCAGATCTCCTAAAACTGGAGTTACGGATGGTTGTGAGTCATCACGCAGCTGCTGGGAATTGAATTCAGGACCTCTGCAAGAGTAACAAATGCTCTTAACTGCTGAGACACCTCTCCAGCCCCTCTCCTCTGGCTTATTTGTTCGTTTGGATGGGGATCTTACTGCATCCCAAGCTGGCTTTGAACTTCCTATGTGGCTACGGATGACCTTTCATGCCCGAAGTTCCAGTCTCTACCTCCCAAGTGCCCTAGTCTAGGCAGGGCTGTTGGACAGTCTTTCAAGAAGACAGTGTGTTCTACACAGGACCCGGGGTGATGCCTGACCTCAGGAGCACTACTGACCCAAGTACAAGGGTCGAGGTTCTCTGGGCTGTCCCACTGAAGGCACAGTTTTACAGGAGGCTGACTTATCTGAGCTCCACATCTACCCCACCTTTGCAGCTCATAGAAGGGCTGGCCTTCTCTTAGACGGGTCTCCTCAGGTCCTGCATCTTGCCTTCTCCCACAAGAAAATGAGATTCAACCTTTCAGAGTAAAAGACTAAAGGAAAATGTTCCCACCGATCTCTCTGAGTTATTATTTTCCTTCCAACTCATTTTCTTATCTAGAACTGTCAAAATTTAAAAAAGGAAAAGTTGGTCTGATGACAGCAATTCACTTGTTATTCGAAGCAAAACTACAATACTTAGATTCTCTCATTTTCTAAGACCGATTACTCATGGTGACCTATGTAGGCCAAACTGGCACCTACTGAAGATATTCATGGGGGGGGGGGAGTGAAATACTTATATAACAATTTCTTATTTTAAAAAGCACCAATTCAGTGTCCCAATAGCCAGTCTGAATGACCATTTTTTCCCCTACTGAAGGCTAACCTCAAAATACTCTCACCTCGTATTTGGATTTATTTGGTACCTATTGAAATACGAGCAGAAAAAAATGTTTCTAATATAAACTGAACAACCTATCTTCATATACGAAATATATACAAAATCCCAGTGTTCCCTGGGGTAAAGTGTCTGCAGATAGCACTGGGAGTTATTCTTCCTAAGTCAAAGGAGATCACTCGTGGGATTCTGAATTTAAACAAGAGCGGTTGGAGGCCTTTGCCAAGCATGAGGGGAGTGAGATGGCAAAAACCCCAGGAAAATGTGCACCGAGGGAGATCAGTGTTTTTTTTAATATTGATTTCACAACTGTATCAAGGCATACAGCGCAATCCCATGGCTGGATCAGAAAGCGTTCTGAAGGGATGACTCACAGTGATGGAAGCTGGCTCCGTCAAGGCTAAGATAAAGGCCCCGTAAAAGTCGTAAGAGAAGGGTCAAAGGTTCTCTTGATGTAATTATTTTATCTGGAGGATTAGCTCGTCCTGTGCTTTACAAAACCTCCTACGTACACCTTTGGAAAGCGTTGGGTGACAAATGGATCCATTTAGCCCTGGCACCTTGGCTCTATATGTAGCTAGGCCAGGCCTTGAACTCATGATCCTCCTGCCTCTGACATCAAAGCACAGGTGCTCTGGGGTGAGCCCCTGCTTCTTTGCTCTCAAGTCAAATACAGGGCCATGCTTACCTCCAGGAAAAGGACATTCAAAGCCCCAGCAAGAGAACAGTGCTGCCAAGTGAGGGTAAGGCTGTCTTCCGGGAGTCAGCGCAGGGCTGGGGATATCCAAGCACACTGGGGGACTGAACACGCCTCTCCACGCAGGAAGCCACAAAACCCGGTTCCCACCAAGCAAACGCAGCCTCTTCCCAGTGCAGGGGAGCGAGGAACTCACCTGTGCCATCCTCCCCAAGGCCTTCAGCAGACTCCCGAAGCTTGACGTCCATCACTCTCGTGGAGATCATGTCCGGCTCACTAAAACCAGAAGGAAACCTGTGTTAGAGGAACGCGTGGAGCCGAGAGACCCACGAGTGCCATGGTGGTGGGGACGGCTTCTGCCTGTCTATAACTCTGGAAAGTCAGAGCTGAGGGAGGGGAGGACAGTACAGGCCATGCTCACAGCCACATGGGGAGCAACTACAGAAGCGTCCTAACTACTGATGTCATCAGTTTCACAAAAAACACAACACTTTCAAAGTTCCCCTCAAACTGTGAGAAATTGTTTGTTTTTCCTCTAGCAAGTTTGGAAAATGTAGAGAGTAAAAACACACTCATGATCCTACCAACTAAAAATAATCATAATGATCATTTTAGCCTTTCCAACCAACCTTTACACAGACGCTTGTTAATCATGCACACACACGAAGACACTTGACTTCCGACTTTTGTAACATACAACTTGATTAAAATTCTTCCTAAGTATTATCTGAACGGCTACACAATATCTTACTATTAGTTACATTGAGCCTTCTGTTTTTGAACTTGGGGAAAATTCCAAGTGAATACAGACATACAGTGAGCTCCACATAAAATTATCCTCCTTCATTGCACCCGACACCCATGCCCGCTAGATCACTTCCAAGTAAGTCATCCGTTACTATTACCATTTCACCCATATGGATTCACCTTCTTCCTAAATAAAAGTACCTGATTTCCTCATCCATAATCCTGTAACAGAAATCAGTGCTACTTAGATCCCTGCCTCCCCCACCCAACCCGAGACAGCACATTCTCCCTTTATGTGCAGCAGACTCTCTCTGGGAAGCTTTTTTTTAAACAAACAAACAAACAAACAAACAAAACTAGGAGTGACTATGAATCCTTATACTGAAGAAAGAGAGGTTCAAATGTTTGATTAACCAGCTCAGAGTTTGGCTTGCACATACGGTGAAATGGCAAGAGGAACAGAATAAACACATCCAACAGAAGAAGAGAAGCATGCACAGGGCTCTGGGCTGGAGTTGGCACTCATATTTAAGTGGCCTTGAATATAAATGTTAGCACAGTTGTCCCCCTCCAGACTGGTTCTTTTAATCTTCTCATCATCCTCACCAGCACTGGAGACAGGTTCTCGCTATGCAGCACTAGCTGGGCTGGAACTTGCTATGTAGACCAGTCTGGCTTCGAACTCAGAGATCTGCCTACCTCTTCCCTCCTGTCTTAAAGGGCTTCTATTGCTGTGATAAAACACCATGAACAAAAGCGGAGGAAAGGGTTCATTTCAGTTTATAGTTTTACAACACAGTCCATCAACAAGAGACGTCAGGACAGAAACTCAAACAGGACAGGAATCTGGAGTCAGCTGATGCAGAGGCCATGGAGGAACGCTGCTTACTGGCTTGCTCTCCATGACTTGCTCAGCCTGCTTTCTTATAGGATGCCAGCCCAGGGATGGCACATACTACAACCGAGTTGAACCCCGCCAGACTAATCATCAAACAAGAAAAAGCGGCAAGCTTTGCCACAGGCCAATCTGGTAGTCATGTTTTCTCAAGTGAGGTTCACTTTTCCAAAATGGCTCTAGTTTGTGTCAAGTTGACAAAAAGCTGTACACTCCCGATGCTGGGATTAAAGGCATGTGCCCCACATCTATTGTTTTTTTAAAAGTGTGTGTGTGTGTGTGTGTGTGTGTGTGTGTGTGTGACTGAGAAGGGGCGAGAGAGAGGAGGGGGGAGGTGGAGGGTGCAATCAAGGGCCTGCAGAGGCCAGAAGAGAGTGTTGGGTCCTCTGGAGTTGGAGTTACAGGCTGGTGTGAGCCATCTGCCGTGGGTGCTGGGAACAGAACGGAGTCTTCGGCAAGAGCAGTATCTGTTCTTAGTTAATTTCATCACTCAGTTCTCTGGCTGATTTCTTAAAGGCTGAAAAGAAAACTCTTTTTTTAAAGCTTCGCTTCTCAATTTGCATGCAGTTTGGCTTCTCGGAAACAGCTGATGTGAACATTAGTTCTATCAAAAGCTTTCTGACGGAACATCACGCTCCTGCTCTCACTGCGCGTACAGCGAGGCGGAGATGGCAACGGCACTTGCTCACATCGTGGGTACCGCTCTCCTCCTCCTTACCACTCTCTGTGTTCATAGTCAAGGTAACAGATGACGCGACCAAAGAGGCCAGAGGTTGTGACACACCTTCCCACATCCAAAGGCCTCCAAGATGTCAGCATTGTCAGCCATCTCTGAGGTCTGCATGGCCTATTGATCAGTGGTACAACTGGAAGCCGAGGAATTGCCAGGAGACTTGGGGTGAGAGGCTTATGGAGGAAGGACCTTAGGGCAGAGGGGAGCATGAACCTGGTGAGGGTGGGTGGAGTGAACACCCGCCTGGGCTGTTGCTGAGGTGGAAAGGTGGAAGTGCAGGGGTTTTCCATCCCTCGATCTTGGCATTAACCACAATGACCGCAAACCACACACCAAGAGCAGCATATCACCAATTGTCTCGTGCCATCCTGGAGAGCTCTGTTTTCCAGCCAGGAGATGAGAACACATGTGACCTTAGCTGGTTTATCAGCTTGCCTGATGTACTGAAGAGCGTTCATTCTGAATGCTCACACTGGCTGGGCACTTGAGTGTGCAGGTGCTTCTGAGCCTCTGGGGTATGGCCACAGATGAGACCAGCGTGGTCCCTGCCTCTCTCAGGTGTTGCCCAGAGAAGGGGAGGGGTGCCGAGACGGTCCCATCTGTGACTCTGAGATGTCCTGGATGGGATGGAGGAAAGCCAGGGAGTTCAAAGTACAGAATCTCCCACTGAGATGGCTCCGCCCACCAAACATCCCTTGTGTCTGGGATCTGGCCAGCATGCCAGGGCCAAGGCTGCCAGGGACTCTGCAACTGAGAAAGGGAGTTTAAGGTTGATGAGATGTGCCAACTAACTGAGAAGAGATAACTCCTCAGAAACTGCGATGTCACCTCTGGCAGATGAAAAGTGACAATGACAGGAATTACTGAGGGTATGTATGGCTGTGTGAGAGAGTATGCATGAGCCCCCACAGGTAGATGTGTAGAGGGCACCCTGATTCTATCCCATGATCCTGGAGCAGCCCAAAGGCTCAGACCTGCTTCTCCCAAATGGAATGATGAGTCTGTAATACATCCACACAGGGCAGAGGGTCAGGAGCAGGTAGAAACAGGGGGGAAGAAGAAGGGACCTAGTTTCACCTGTGTGGCTCCTTCTAACCCCCCTAGAGGTTAATGAAGAGTACCAGGAGATGCCACAAGAGCCCGCAGACTCAGGAAGACAGCAGTGCCCACTGATGACGGGACTCCATCGGACAGATCTTAACACCTGTTCAGGTTTTGCGCTCCAGCTCTCTTCCCACCGAAAGGAAAGGATGAAGACTTGGGTGTTGGGATGTCTTGGGGTTGCACTTGAATTCTAAAACCTACCAGCACAGGGTTCAGGCTCCCCATTTGCAAAAGATAAGCAAGAAGACCTTTAACCCAATGAGACCTGAGTTAATTAATTGCTTTTTTCATCACTGCGGCGAACACCTGTCAAAAGCATCTTATGGAAGGAAGTGTTTATTTCAGTTCATGGTTTGAGAGTAGAGTCTGTCATGGTGGGGAAGCCATGGCAACAGGGGTGTAAGGGAGTGGGTCACAACTGCGCTCACTCCAGGAAGCAGACAGAGATGAAGGCCGAAACTCAGCCCACTTTTTTGTCTCTGTTCTGCCTGGGACCCCAGGCCATGGGATGGTGCCACTCACATTCAGCATGGGTCTTCCCTGTTCTGTTAAAACCTAGCATTTTATATTTACTGTTTATGTTTTGAAAACATACTCATAGACCCAGTGTTTCCACGGTGATTCTAAGCCCCATCAGAGATGACAGTGACGAAGAGCCGCCACAGGCCCAGAAGCCAGCATACAGCCAGAGCCTGCTGAACACTGCGGTGGGTACCACAGCTCACTCTTCACCAGGTATTCCCGTCTGTGTACAATCCTGCTCCCAGCATGCACGACTGCTGTGTCTCTGGGCAGGTGTCTCAACATGATCTTATGAAACCAAACAAATGGCTCACTTTGGGGTTACCGCTATCTGTCACAGAATAGTGACACCTGGGCTTCCTAATCCTCACTCAAACTGCTGCAGGGTAACTGATGGGCGGGTCCATCATCACAGAGCAGCAGCTGCCCCTGAGTCCACCACAGACTAGACAAATGGAGAAATGTCTCTATCACAAGAGCATTCGAGGCGGGACATCACGGCTCTAACAATGTTGGACCCTGTGAGGATTAGGTCCCCGACTCAAGTGGAAAGCCACAATAGAGCAAGATGTCCCACAGGAAGACATGCTAGCCTCAAGTCACTCTCTACCTAAAGGGCCCACAACAGGCATCTGCACTCCCCACCCCCTGCCCTTATTTTCCTGACAGCTATTAGGTCCCGATCAAAGAAAACCTATTCTTTAGGCTAAATTTGGACTTGAAGGGCCTCCTAGGAGTTCTGATTAACTCACAAGGATGCAGGTCTCCTCCAGCCCCCTCGGCAGTGTGCAGTACTTAGTGTAATGTGGGCACCCACAGGCTCCAGCGAAGTCCCATTAATGTAGCCCCCCTTAATGTAGGGGGGCTGCCCTAATCCTTCTCTCCACTCTGACTGTGACCACAGGCTCCTCCCCAGCTAACAGCTAAGCTTTATCAGGAGCTGCAAATTCAACTAAAAATCCTGTACGTTTGTCCACACAAAGCATACATTTCAATGTGTTCGCTTTAATGTTCCAGTCCGCTAAATTTACCTACCCAGTAGAAAAGTTCTGTGCGTTAGGTGCAGACATCTAGGTGTGCAATTACAGACGGAAGTCGTTGCGTTTGCCCTTCAGGTCAGCTCCCACCCTGATGGATTCTTTCATGCCCTCCTGGGCCCTTTACACCACACCCCAAGACTGGCAGCAGGCATTTGTCAGTCTCAGGAGAGGCTAGGTTAAAACAGAACAATAAAGCAACTGCAATCTGGTCTCCATCCACCTGTTTCCAGCATTT